AAGGCCTCTCTGGCCCTGGCCAGTATGACTCAGTTGGTTGGAGTGTTGTCCTGTGCACTAAAAGATTGCCGCTTCAATTCCCAGTTAGGGCACATACCTAAGTTGCTGGTTCGATCCCCAGCTGATATTTCTGTTTCACACTGATGCCCCCCCTTCCCTGTCTCCCTCTGTCTCTCTGTCTCTGTCTCTGTCTCTCTCTCTAAAAATCAATAAAAACATATTTTTTTAAAGGCCCCTCTGGGTAATGGTGGAGATGGAACATTAGGAAGAGAAAGAAGGGATGGTGCAGTCCAGTTGTCCAGGCGAGAGGTGAAAAGACCGTGGCCTGGGCGATATGATGCAACAAAGGGGTTGGATAAGAGTCCCTTAGGGCCTTTCCAGCCCTGGCATTTTGTAATTTGGTGGATTCTCTCAGCACACACCTGGGAGGCGCAGCTAAGCCCCTGTTTTTCTTTTCTTGCAATTTCTCGGCTTCTTCTCTTGGATTCTGAGACTCAACAAAGCCAGATGATCTGAGGCTCAGAGTGGTGTCTCCTTCCCACCTGCCAGCCCCACGCCTGTCCCCACCTCTCAGGGACAGATGGGTCGGCAGCAGGAGGCAGCTGGACCTCGATGCCTGCAGGGCCCCAGGAGAAGAAATTATCTGAGAGTTCATAACCCTTCTCTGCCTTCCAGATCTTGAGTTAAAAGCCCCAAGTGTCACAGCCCCAAGGGTGAGGGTCGAAAGGTGCCAGGAGAGGGGCCGGACAAGGCACAAGGTGCTTTTCTGTCTGCAGCTGCCCACGTGAGGGGCAGGGACCTGGGGTACTGAGAAGTCCAGCCCTGAGAGCAGGAAGCCATTAGCACTGAGGCTGAAAACTGGTGGCCTTCAGGCCGTGGCTGACCCACTGACCTATTTATTTGGCCTGAAAAGTGTTTGAGAGAAAAAAAATGAAGCCAATCTTTAAAAATGAAGAGATTTTACAATACAATCCAGATTTCTGGCTTCTCTTGAATAATTAGGAAATTGGACCATACTGACTGCCTATTCCCATATGACAGCATTCGGCAGTAGCTGAGTGGCAGCTGTCCCCATTATTATATTATTTTACTAATAGGTAAATACAGTCACATGATTCCAAATTAAAAAAAAGTATAGATAGGCATATAATGAAGTCTCCCTCCCATCCTTGTTCCCCTTGTGCCCCGTGTTGCCTTCAGTAATCTCGTTTTCTTATTATTACACTTCACAAATACATATTATGCAAATACGGATTATGCCCCCTTTTCACTCAGCTTTTGTAACCGGACAGTGTGTCTGTGCTGCTGTCACTAGCCAATGAAGCAGAGGCAGGGTTGAATCATATATGAGCGTTGATTCCAATACTGCGGGCAGGATGAGAGAGCAGCAGGTCAGCCACAGAAATCTGCTCTGCACCCTGCATACCCAGTTGTTTATATAGTAAAAGTATAGAGGAAATGTAGGAAAAAGAGCAGATATGCAAAAGAGCTAGGGGTCTTTAAAGGGCTTAGTGATATGCAAGGGTTGGAGTTACAGGGGGAAATAGCCAAAGGAGTGCCAGATGGGCAGTTAACAGGGAAGCAGGCAGGAGGTCTACAAAGGCCTGCAGGGATGCAAAAGGGCTGGGGATCTTCAATGGGCTGGTGATTCTGGTTTCCATAACAAATCTTTGTTAATCTTTCCATGATAACAGGCAGCTCCAAATGGGGAGGAGGGGCTGCATCTCCAGGTCAGCTCCAGCCAGGGTGGAATGTGCCTTTAACAGGATAAAACAATCACTGTTAACAGCATGATTGGGTCCAACCTAGGCATGTGCCTTGACCAAGAATCAAACAAGACCTCTCAATGCATGGGACGATGCCCAACCAATGGAGCCATCAAAACTAGACGGGCCCTTTGAGATCTCATCCAGTTCCCCAAGCTCCTCTCTCGTTTTATCGATGGGGACACTGAGGCCCAGAGAGAAGTCCCATATCTAGCAAATGGCAGAAGCAAATCTGGGAGCCTTTTCCTGGTCGCCAGGTGTATGGTCTTTGGGCTTCATTGGGAGTCAGTCTAGGGAACAGTTCTTGTCACATTTTCCCAGTTAATTGAGAATTCAGTTCATGCCTACTGCACCCTCAGTGTGGACCAATTTCTAATGATATTCCTTTAGTTCTTGTGCAAAGAATGCACAAGATAATCGACACAGCATTGTTTATAACAGTAAATATTGGTAATGACCCAAATAGCCACCTGTAGGCGGCTGGCTAAATAACTCATGGACTTCCTGACAACGGAATAGCATGTGTCAGTAAAAGAGGCAATGAAGCTCTCTGTCTCCTAATACAGAGAGGCTTCCATGGGGAAAAGCAAGGGAGAGATCAGGAGACAAAGTGAAAGGGGGCAGCAATAGAATTTGGGGAACCAGCTAGTATTGTAAGAAATATTAATCATGCCTCCACTGCAGCAGGCACCACCTCACCAAGCACCCCAAGTTTGTGCAGGACATGAATTGAGAGGTTTGCAGCTTTGTGCAGACACATATCTGCACCAAGAAGAAGAGAAAGGAGCTGAGTAATGTCCTGATGGTCAGAAGGACTGAACCGCCTCCCCTCTGGGAGTAAAAAAACAAACAAACCTTTTCTGAAAAAGAAAAAAGATGAATTGTCTCAACTCTCATGGAGCTCCTAGGCAGTTCCAAACATAACTAAAATAAATTACCAGTGTACTGATGTTAATAAGGAAAGACTAATGTGTCATGGAAGCTCATAACGGGCGTGTCAGGGAGACTTCTCTGAGGGATAGAGAGCAGCATACAGCTGGGTGGGAGATCCAGGAGGGCTTCCTGTGAGAGACATCACCCCATCTAATAATTAACATTATTTATCCTCACCACACCCTTAGGAGGAAGGCACTAGCTACCCCCCGCCCTTCATTTTACTTTTTCCCCCTAAGCTAAGCAAAAATTAAGTGTCTTTTCTAAGGTCATGGAGCCAGGAAGGGAAGAATAGGTTTTGAACTTAGGTTTCCTGGCTCCAGAATCTCAGGCAGAAAAGTGGGTCTTGGACTGCCTGTTTGAATGGGCTGACCCTGAGCTTTGGAGAGACATGGAAGGTAGAGGGGCTCCCTCCTTGGGGTGGAGGTGGGGCAGAGGGGAGAACCTAATCCTGTCAGGCCCCATCCAGGACCTGTGAGAGGGCAGAGATCCAGACACATGCAGAACTGTCCCAGGGCCATAAGACAGTCTGGAGGCAGACCTTCCCTCTACCCAGAGCTTCCATGAGTCTTCCTGCCTAGGATTGTAGGAGAGAAAGGAAAAAAAGATATTGTTCCTGCCTAAGTCACATTGGGATTCAGACTCCCCTTTAGCCCAACCCACAGAAACTCCCACTAGTCTACACACATCCTTGGATAGAGACTGTCAGCTTTGAATCCAGCCTGGGAAACTCCCTTAATCCCTAATTTTTCCTCCTCCATTTTCAGCTTTGGGCACCAGCTGCCACTCCAACCTCCTGAGCATTGCCAGGGCCAAATCAGTCCCTGGACAATAAAGGGATGCCAGGCTACAGGACTGCAGATGGCTGCTCCTTCTTGACCCAACGCAGCTGTCTCCCTTCATCTCCCCCTTTCTGCCACTCTGAAGCAGGGTGGTCCTCACACTTCCGCCCCTCCCCTCTTCTTTCCGCCCCTTCTCACTTACCAGTAACTCTCCTCTCCCCTTGGAAGATAGAAAAACCTATTCTGGAGCCAGATTATGGGTTTGAATTTAGTTCTAGCTGTATGACCCCAAGCAAAATAATTAACTTCTCTGGTTCAGTTTCTTCATCTGTAAAATGGGAAGGGAAAATGCAAATTACCTCACAAATTGTTAGTAATTGTACAGTGCTTAGAACAGTCCTGAGCAAAGAGAGGCTGCTGTATATGAGTGTTTGCATAATAAACCCTGGTATAGACATCCAGGATGTCTGAAGGATCCTGCCCTCTCTCCTGGGTTACTGTTATGTTTTTCACCTGGTCTCTCCCTTCCCAGGCAGCTTCCCTGTGCACTTCTCTCCTCTGGCTACAGGGTCTTCTTTCAAAATCCTGACTTGATCACATTACCCCCTGCTCAAATCCCACAGTGGCTCCCCGTTGCTTCTTGGATAAAGCATATCTTCTGGCCCTTTAGCATCTCACCCCTCAGAACGCTCCGGCTCCAACTTTCTCAGCTTTCCACCTCCCTAGATGTGGGACCCAGACTTCCTTGAAAACATGTCCTCCAGTCTCAGGCCTTCAGGCCTTTGTACCAGCTCTTTCCTCCACCTGGTGTTCCCTCCCATCCCTTCCCTGCCCCTAGTTATGAGGGCTGTGGCCAGAGGAAGGCCGTTCCAGAGGAGGGAAAGGAGGGCGTGGGGAAGAGACAGCAACTCTCAGAGCTTCAGTTTTCTCAGCTTCAAAAGACAATAGCAAAAGGGGCCTCTCAAGATAAAAGAAGGGGGTGGAACAATATGTGAACACCCTGGAAACTAGGAAGTGGCCTGTCAGCATGGAATGATTGCTGAAGAGTTCCTGAGGTGCCCGCCTAAGCCGCCCCTTTCCAAGTTCCTGCCCGCCCCCACGCTCCTCAGACCCAGGCCACCGGAGGTAAACACAGGACATAAATGAAAAGGGAGAGGGGCGCGGTGAAGAAAGGAGAAAGGAAGGAAGTGGAGCAGGGTGAGGGGTGAGAGGCAGAGAGCATGTGGCTGGAGCCCCGCACCTCCGAGGAAGGCAGGAGAGGGTGACCTGGGATGCTCTCCCCCGTCCCCGGCTCCCTTCCCGGGGAGGGGAGTGCTCCCAGTGCGGCCACAGCTCGGCAGGTGGAGGAGGGGTGAGGGCGGCGCCAAGGGTAATGAATAATTGAAGTAGAGGGAGGAGGAAGACGAGGAGAAGGAGGAAGAGGGGGAGGCCGGAGCCACCACAGCTCAGGGTCCTCCCCACTCCGCACCCCACCCCCTCCGCCTCCCGGAAGTCGCTCCCCGCCTCCCGCTCCGCCAACATGGCCGCGAAGTCTGATGGAGCGGCGGCCGCGGCCAGCCCGGCGCCGGAGGGGGCGGCTGGGGGAGCCCGGGGCAGCGCGGGCGCGCGCGGGGAGGCGGCGGCCGCCGAGGGCCCCGAGGTGGCCGGGCCGGGGGGCTCGGCGCCGCGCTACGGGCTGCGGGACTGCTGCTGGGTGCTGTGCGCGCTGCTCGTGTTCTTCTCCGACGGCGCCACGGACCTGTGGCTGGCGGCCTCCTACTACCTGCAGGGTCAGTGGACCTTCTTCGGCCTCACGCTGCTGTTTGTACTCCTGCCCTCGCTGGTGGTGCAGCTGCTCAGCTTCCGCTGGTTCGTGTACGACTACACGGAGCCCGCGGGGACCCTGGGACCCGCCGTCAGCACCAAGGACAGCGGCGCCGGCGGGCTCTCCGTCAGCACTAAGGACAGCGCCACCGCCTTCCTGGCCAAAGAGGGCGGCTCCGAGCTGGGACCCCGGCCGCCCGCGCCCTCCTCGGCCAGCGCCCACCGCCGCCGCTGCTGTCGCTTCTGCGTCTGGCTGCTGCAGACTCTCGTCCACCTCCTGCAGCTCGGCCAGGTCTGGAGGTAGGAGAAGCGCAGGTGAAGGGAGCTGATTCCGAGGAGTCTGGGTAGCGAAGGGCCGCCTCCCACTCCAGTTTTCCTCTGATCTCTCTAGGTCCCCTCGTGTCCTGACCTCCACCGCACCCCACCCTAATGTAGCTCTGATTTTTTTTTCTCTGCCAGCTCCTCCCTGCCCACTGCTCTCAAACTCTGACCAACCCCAGAGCCATCCTCTTATCTGGCCATTGAGGGAGGAGGGGATGGATCAAGAAGAGAGAGGAAGGGCCCTGGGTTAATGAACGTGAGTGTGAAGCTTGGAATAGAACTCCAGGGCTCCCTCCATCCCTGACCCACTCCTTTCTGCCCGAGTGCTGAGCCTGGGTGTAGGAAAGATCTCAGAAGTCCTCCCTTGCTCTCAAAGATTTTCAGTTCAGAATTGAAGTCCATTCTCAATCTCCCAGGAGAAGCATGGAATTTGAGGTAGCTAAATGAATATCCTGCTCAAACTTTTTAGACTTTTGGGAAAGGGTATGCCAGATCCAGCTGAGGAGCCATCTGGCTCCTGTTTCTTAGGACTTCTCCAGTGTCCACGTCCTGCCCACACCTCAACAGGCCCAAGGGGATTTTGGATCTCGAATCTGAAATTAGATGGCCACTAGCTGTCCTGTAATTGCAGGGGCAGTAAGACAAAACTGACTTTGCACAAATAGCCTACTTCCAGGCTTACTCTGCCAGGACTAAGAGTGGCTGCTGAGCTGAGCTGAGCTGAGTTCATTGGAGAGGGGGGAATTCTGAACGGAGGATTCTTCTTGAATCAGGATTGCTCCAGTAGCTTAGGCTGTCCTGTGCACTGAAAGAATTGAACTTGCTACTTATGTCATCTTAGACAAAACCTCTCTTCCTTCCAAGATTCAGTTTCCTCGCCTGTGAAATATGGGAGAATTCCCTCCTTCTCATCTCATTAATCTACCATCATAGTTTATTTACCTAGTGGGTTGGTCATGTGAGAGCTGGTCTGTGGGAGGCCCTGCAAACTTCAATATGTTTTAGTAATGTAATAGATTACTAGGGTTATCACAATTATATGAAAAAAGTTAAAGTCACAGTAACGATATAGAGGGTGATTATTGCTGTTCTTATATTTATTCTGTCTGCTACTTGTTAACACGGTCTGCCTAACTCAAGATTTAGTTCTTTGCTGAGGGTTGGAAACAGGACACCCAGAGCTTGTTCCAGCTGCTCACTTGCTGTGTCACCCGTGTTGCATTGCCAAATCTCTCTCTGCCTTGATTTCCCTCTCTATGCCTTGTCTGGATTGATGTGTATATTCCATTTATCTGTCTTGGGAGAGAAGGAGGGTGAAGTTGTATCCACACAAGTTGGTGTTGTTATTATTATTAGCTTGACACATAAAAATATTCATGTCTACATCCAGGAACTAATCTGCAGTTATCATTCTGTGCCTGAGTGGACAGATGGTGAAAGATATTTTTAGATTCTGAAATGGTAACTTCCTATTCTTGATGGCCAAATCCTCACTGCCCTTTCCTTCAGCCTAAAATGGGCCAGCTGCCCCTCAACTCACTGACTACCTTGAATCCTCTTCCCCTTGTTCAGAATCTACATGCAAGAAACTGATACTTGCTTCTTGAACTAACTGCATATCTCTCAAATACGGCAAAAAATGATCATGGAGTGTGGATGGGGGCCTCAGGGGCGTGGCTGGAGGTAGCTGATGGTCCATTGAGATCCATGGTTTCTTTGGTAAAAGGACTAGCTATTTCTACTCTCCCCCATTTGTAAAAGGGGTTGGGGTTGCAAACTAATGGCCATTGAAAGCGTTTTGTTTGGCTTGAATAATATTTCAAAACTCTAGAAGTCCTAGCTTCTCTTAAAAAAAAAATAAAAAGGAATCTAGCAGTGTCTGGCTTGTAACAATTTAGACAGAATATATGTGCTCCACTGTGTCCTGCTCCATTCTCCTTTGTCACATTTGGGCCATTTCACATAAGCTTTAGGGGCACAGATCCTCTATAACAATTATTTTACTAAGCACTCACTTTGTGCCAAGCTTACTGCTTGCCTTTTTACCTGTTTCCTTTCGTATATCCCTCCAAAGAAAACTCTGATGTGGTTGTATTATCATTCCTACTTGACAGGTGAGGGGATAGAGGCTCAAAAAGGGTACACCCTTGCCCAAGGTCACACCGCTAGGGAGTAGGAGAGCTGGGACTCAAGACTCTGCCTTCAAAACCCACGTTCAATTTATCCACCTTGCAGTTCTGCCACTAATGTGTCCCTCACGCTCAAAGAATTATGAGTCTGAGATCCCAAGATTCTAGGATGAGAGAAAGCCATGGCTCCTGCTGCACTGAGATAAGAATGTGAAAGAAGGGAGAGATGGAGATGTGGGTAAGGATGGGAGACAGTGTATCTTGTGGGAGAGTGCTGGGTTGGGGCACCTATGTCTTCACCCAGGTTTGTAACTAGCTTGTTAGGTGGACTTGGGTGAGGCTTTTCCCACACCAGCCTTAGTTTCCCTGTCTGTCAAATGAGAATATTAGATTTGATGACTTTAACAACTTTCCTTTTCTGTGATTCTAACAATGGTCTAGCTAGCAGAGCAAAAACCTCTGGGCACCTGTCCCAAACCTTTGGTTTCTGAAATGGCTGAGGGTCTGGCAAAATGGAGGAAAATCCAGACAAGATATAGAGAAGTCAGCAGGGTTGGTATTCCTAGAAGTTAAGCAATGTTGGCACAGCATGTTTGCTTATCACATGAAATGTTCCCACAGTGAACAGTTTCTCTCTTCAGCAGGACTTGGTGCTGATGCTCTGAGTAGTGGGAACTGGAGTTCTGAGAAAGGGATGCGTGTCTGAGCCCTCCAGGATCAAAGCTGACTTCTCTGAGCCTCACTTTTTTTCAAGAGGTGACAGGGTCAGAGAGGTCAGGGTTTGGACTTTAATTGGCTTGACAGCCCTGAGTGGTTTAACTGCTCAGACGATTGGGGTGGAGGGTGGGGAGGAGTGAAAAAACAGGTTGGTGTCCAGCTCATGTCCCACCAAAGGATCTGTGTGCTCTTCTCTCGGGGTTCAATCTGTACACGGCCAATGCTCTGAAACACCCCCCTGTCTCCCTACTCAATGAAGTTATTCACCTCCTGATCTCATATCCCCAATTCTTAATACAAGAATTTAAGTCATAAAGGTATCTTTCAACTCCTCATGCTGGTACAATACTGGATGAAAAGCTTAAATACTTTGAGAAGCAGGAAGCACAGACCTGTGTCTGTATGAGGCTGTCAGTCAAGAGGACATTTGGAGGTAAGCAGTGTCCTAGAGAAGGGGAAGCCACCACCTAGCCCCACTGAGGGTGCCATGAGAAGTTGTGGACTCGGTATTGTCAATTCGTGATTTATCATGAGAAGTGGAAAATTGGGATTTTTGTGTGAATTCTTCCAATTTTCAATTATTAATTAATATTTTTTAAAACATGTCAACCAAAGTTAACACATTTGTGAGCTTGTCTTCTTTGTGACCTCTGGTCTAGTTCTACACAACTCATGAGGTGCTTTCTTATTCTATTTCCAAACAACCTTGCAAAATGGGTATTGGTATTATTATTTTAAACACAAAATGGGGCTCTGAGGAGGGAGGCGAGGGGGAGGAATTCATGGATACCACGCACTCACTCTGTCCCAGTCGGCCCCATGTGAGGCACAGGCACAGGGTCTCTTTTTTTCCCTGAAACTGCCCCTCTGTTGGCAAATGACACATGTTTACCAGACAAAAAAGTGAGGCTCAGAGAAGTCAAGTAACTTGTCCAAGGTCACCCACTAAGGAAATAGGAGGGAGGTGAGGTGCCAACACAGTTTTGCCCAACTCGCAAGCCCAAGCTCTGTCCCTGGCACCACCATGCTGATGGCATAGGGGGCAGAGGGAGGAGAGGTCTCAGACCATTGGCTGGGTACAGATTGAACCCCAAGAGAAGAGCACACAGATCCTTTGGTGAAATATGAGCTGGCTGTGGGCTGGTCACCAGTCTGTGTCTTCATTCCTCCCTACCCTCCACCCCAACCGTCTGAGCAGTTAAGCCACTCAGGGCTGTTAAGCCAATTAAAGTCCTAACCCCGTATCCCTGACCCTGTGGGCAGCAGAGCAGTAAGCCATGACTCCTGCTTTCTCTAATCTTGAATTCACTGGGCTCCACGTCTGCTGGGATAAGCTTGGTTTGCTAAGCCAATTAGTGAGTGATGATCTGGCACAGTATTCCTTCTAGGCTGTCAGGATCTGGGGACCCCAGAATGGGGAGGGAGGGAGGCAGCCTGGGCTTTGAAGGCCCTCCCTCTGCTACCCCCTCTGTGTCTAGGCCTGAGCACTGCTCCCTTTGACTCCTCAAGAGTCCTGCTTGGTGTGAAAATCTGGCCGTGTCTCTTCTTTGGGAAGCCATAATTTTGGAATAATGGTTAAGTACATGGACTCTATCCCTAACTGGTTTTGCTCAGTGGGTAGAGCATCAGTCTGTGGACTGGAGGGTCTCTGGTACAATTCTGGTCAAGGGCACATACTTCAGTTGCAAGCAGGTCAGGGCAGGGGCGGGGTCGGGAGGCAACCAATTGATGTGTCTTTATTTATTTTTAAAAAATATATATTTTATTGATTTTTTTCAAGAGAGGAAGGGAGAGGGATAGAGAGTTAGAAACATCGATGAGAGAGAAACATCAATCAGCTGCCTGCACACCTCTTACTGGGGATGTGCCCGCAGCCAAGGTACATGCCCTTGACTGGAATCGAACCTGGGATCCTTCAGTCCGTAGGCCAACACTCTATTCACTGAGCCAAACTGGTTAGGGCTGATGTGTCTTTCACATCAATGTTTCTGTCTCTCCCCCTCCCTTCTACTCTCTCTAAAAATTAATGGAAAAATATCCTCCAATTGAGGAGTAACAAAAAAAAGAACATGGTTTCTAATTCAAATGTCCTCAGTTCAAATCCTGGTCCTATCACTTCCTGTATGTGACCTT